AGAGCAGGTGAGTATAACATGTTTATTTTTTTTTACAGGAAAAATAGCTTTACTCTCATTTTAAGGCCATTATGTGGCAGATGGGTAAAAAAAGATCTGTGATTTCACCATCCCCTGGCTGCCTACCGGTAAATTACATAGCCAGCAGTGCAGCAAGTTTCCTACAGTGGTGCCACTTGCCAACCATGCCCCATTCAAGTCAGTGGTACCATACTGTGTGTCTAAGGCATGCAGTTGGAGCACAGTCTAGCTTCAATGTACAGTGCCTTGAAAAAGTATTCATACCCCTTGAAATTTTCCACATTTTGTCATATTACAACCAAAAATGTAAATGTATTTTATTGTGATTTTATGTGATAGACCAACACAAAGTGTCATATAATTGTGAAGGAAAATTGTAACTGGTTTTCAAAATTGGTTCCAATAAATATATGAAAAGTGTGGTGTGCATTTGTATTCAGCCCCCTTTACTCTGATACCCCTAAATAAGATCTAGTGGAACTAATTGCCTTCAGAAGTCACCTAATTAGTAAGTAGAGTCCACCTGTGTGTGATTTAATCTCAGTATAAATACAGCTGTTCTGTGAAGCCCTCAGAGGTTTGTTAGACAACATTAGTGATCAAACAGCATCATGAAGGCCAAGCAACACATCAGACAGGTCAGGGATAAAGTTGTGGAGAAGTTTAAAGCAGGGTTAGGTTATAAAAAAATATCCCACGCTTTGATCATCTCACAGAGCACTGTTCAATCCATCATCTGAAAATGGAAAGAGTATGGCACAACCGCAAACCTACCAAGACATGGGCGTCCACCTAAACTGACAGGCTGGGCAAGGAGAGCTTTAATCAGAGAAGCAGCCAAGAGGCCCATGGTAACTCTGGAGGAGCTGCAGAGATCCACAGCTCAGGTGGGAGAATCTGTCCACAGGACAACTATTAGTTGTGCACTTCACAAATCTGGTCTTTATGGAAGAGTGGCAAGAAGAAAGCCATTGTTGAAAGAAAACCATAAGAAGTCCTGTTTGCAGTTTGCGAGAAGCCATGTGGAGGACACAGCAAACATGTGGAAGAAGGTGCTCTGGTCAGATGACACCAAGACTGAACTTTATGGCCTAGAGACAAAATGCTATGTGTGGCTGAAAACTAACACTGCACTTCACCCTGAATACACCATCTCCACCGTGAAACATGGTGGTGGCAGCATCATGCTGGGATGCTTTTCTTCAGCAAGGACAGGGAAGCTGGTCAGAGTTGATGGGATGATAGATGGAGCCAAATACAGGGCAATCTTAGAAGAAAACCTGTTAGAGTCTGGAAAAGACTTGAGACTGGGGCGGAGGTTCACCTTCCAGCAGGACAACGACCCAAAGCATACAGCCAGAGCTACAATGGAATGGCTTAGATCAAAGCTTATTCATGTGTTAGAATGGCTCAGTCAAAGTCCAGACCTAAATCCAATTGAGAATCTGTGGCAAGACTTGAAAATTTCTGTTCACAGATGCTCTCCATCCAATCTGACAGAACTTGAGCTATTTTGCAAACAAGAATGGGCAAAAATGTAACTCTATAGATGTGCAAAGCTGGTAGAGACATCCCCAAAAAGACTTGCAGCTGTAATTGTAGTGAAAGGTGGTTCTACAAAGTATTGACTCAGGGGGCTGAATACAAATGCACACCACACTTTTCACATATTTATATTTGTTAAAAAATGTTGAAAACCATTTATCATTTTCCTTCCACTTCACAATTATGTGCCACTTTGTGTTGGTCTATCAAATAAAATTCCAATAAAACACATTTACGTTTTTGGTTGTAACATGACAAAATGTGGAAAACTTCAAGGGGTATGAATACTTATTCAAGGCACTGTAAGATCCCCCCCCTGGGAATAATTAAAAAAACACCAGCATTCAGAAGGCAGCATATCACCTCCAGTACACTTTTCAAGCTCTAAACTGACTCTAAAAAACGATCCACCACATATCGCTTTTCAGAGGCGTTTACAAACCTGATGCATGTGTAAAAGAAGCCTAAAAACAATACATAACTGTGTGGCTGATATTGTATGACTTATTCAGAGAAAAATAACATATTCCCTAAGAACTCCCAGCCACTAATAATCACCTTTGCTGCACTACTCAGTTGTCCCATCAGAGCACTCAGTAAATACCTTGTCCTCCCAGGTATGAAGGAGCATGTGAGCTCCCAAGATGCAGTGCTCAGGCCTGAGTGGCCAATCACCAGGCCCAGAACACTGTCACATAAGAAAAAGGAAGAAGGAGCTCTATGTCTAAGCCCTGTGTAAGCTCCATGTTAATGGTGTCAAAATTGGATTCATCACTACAACTGAGCATAATGCCGGCCATAGACGGTTCGAAAATCGGGCGATTTTTCCGGTGAAAAAAATCGGCCGATTTTCGCACTGTTAGTGGGTTAATTGGTCGGCTGTTTTTTGGGTTTTTTGCGCTTTGAGATTATCGGTCATGTTGGAAAATTTGCG